AATAATAATAATAATAATAATAATAATAATAATAATAATAATGAAATATAATTATAATCAACAATAATAATAATAATAACGATCGTAGCAGACAATATAATGTTTATTTACAAAAGAGAATAATTAAGTGTTCTAACAACTGGCTAGACATATTATTAATATTTTTAATAACTGATTTTGGTTCGCTGGACCACACTCAGCAACACAAAATTTGAAATAAAAGATTAGATGCAACTTTACTTACAATTTCTAAAGATATGTAAGTAGAGTTTCTTGTTTTCACATGTATGTCTTTGTACAATTTGTGCCCTTTTCAGTGCTCAGAACGATTCTCAGCCTTTGACATTCGCTGTGCTGCAATCTTCGGTAGTAAATTGAAGTTAGTCGCAAGTTCAAAAAATAAGACAGCTGAAAAGTTGCTTGCAATATTTTTCCAGCAGTTTCGCTCAAAAATCCATCATCTCCTCATCATTCCCTGAACACGATCCTGCTTGATGCCGTGCATTGGATTCTGATTTTATGATTTGGGTAAGAATTTCAGACTGTCTGAGGCGTTGATCAATTGCTTTCGCTTACAGCTTTCAGAAAAGTAGCTTTCTTTCTCTTGACCAACTGAATGCATGGAATGTGCGTAAAGTACACATCAAGTAAACAAGTCAGAAGCCGTACTTTTGTAGCCTTTAATTAAAAAGTTATGCTTGTTTTCGCCGTTTTTATGTACAAATTAATGCAGTAATTAAAATTTAACTTATTTTAAGTTATGAAAAAGGCAGTAGTTAAATTGGGAAGCATTGGTTTAATTAATATACAAATGGAATCAAGATAAACAAGTGCTTGCTTATTGAATACAAACTAAGTGAAAAAATGTCTGGCATTTCAGGCATAACATTTGAGGCATAGCAATAAGATCTGTTGATTTCAAGCTCTCATTGATTCTATTTGCATTCAAGATGATCATAGATGATTTTATCATGTAATCAAGATTTTGGTCATTTCACACTTGCAACAATAATTTTGTGATTTCGCAAAGGGTTAACGGTATTTTCTTGACACTTTTGATTATCGAAGGAGTGAGACATACCGAGCAACTGATTCTAAGTAAAAATATACTCAGCTAACAATCAGGCCTAATCAATCCAATCAGTTAAAGTTGGTGTTGAAAAAAATTGACTTTCCTAAGAGAATTGCACTGTATTAAAAATGTGATCAAAGTGAAGTATATGATGGATTTCGCTATGAGAATCTGAAAAATAATTCATTTTCGAAATATGTATTTATTTTCCCATTCGCAAATACAAATAATAGAATTGTAAAAATTTGCTTCCACAAATTTGTTGCAAACGAAAAAAAAAACAAAAAACAAATGCGTATCATATTGATAAACTGATAAAATAAACACAGTTACTGTAATTGGCTACTGTCATGTCACTCTAATGTTTGTAAGTGAAATTCAGATGCACTGCCTTCTAATACTTTTCGCATTAAATAATTGCTTTTAATTAGGCATGTAAATCATTATCTTTTCGACAACAACATGAAGATTTGATGAATTGATTGGAGCACATTTGCGAATTTCGCCTCTCTCAGCTTGTTTGTTCTTAGAAAAACATTTTGGACCAAATTTTATGTACTGACTTGCCGTTGCATTTGCTTAGTTATGAAAATAAATACAACTGAAGATAAACTTGAGGTTTGATATTTGAAGTGAAAATTAAAAATTGAAAGTTAGTAATCTTTAGTTCCAGATTCCAATTTAATAAACAAATCCTAGAATCAAGTATAGTTTAAGACAGGCTTAGGAATCAGAATCAGGAAAAGCAATTGAAGTTGGCTTTAAACTTGTCTGCTATGAGAACGGGAATGGCTTTAGGTACCGCAGAGTAGAAAAAGGAAAGAGCATATGTTCAGTCCATTTTCAGTTCGTTCAGGCAAAAAGACAGAATCTCATTTCCCATTCATTTGCACTTCATCGAGTTATTTCGTTCAGAAGCAAATCATTGTTGTAAACTTTCAACTACGATTTCATAGTACGGTCCGCTTCCCTTCCAATCTAATTTCTTGTACCAATTCATCTTACATATGCACTCAGTAATCTTACTCAATTTTTCTTTATTTTATAATATTTCTTGGAAAAAAGTTACTAGTAAATTAAATAGTTTAAGATTGATTAATTGATTATTTAATTAATTATCTAATCAATCAATCATGCAGTAAAAAACTGCAATTTTTCAGTTCCATTTGAGCTCAGTTAACTTTTTGTAGGAAATTCTGTTTCGCTATTTGTAATATTTGCTTTATTATATTTATAATATTACATTGCATTTGTGTAATGTGATCTTACTTTTGCTGAGTGCAATTTACTGATCTTATAAAGTAATTAATTTATTTTTTGTCTATATAAGATGCTTGTTTTTTTAAATTCATTCCTAAAAGTACTGATAATAACTTACTTTTAATTTGCGCTCAATTAATGTGCCGATTTTCATTGTATTCTATTTGTAGACAAAAAATGTATGACTTTTGATCCTTACCTTCGATTTTCTTTTTGTTTTCTTCTCTTTGCAAGTTAACAAGGTGCTGAATATTTCCTAGACTTCCACGAATGTTCTGCTCGCAGAAAAAACTCTTTTCTTAGTAGACGAGATGCCTCGACGAGTTACTGGCTCGTTTTTGATCAACGAGCAAACATTTTGCTGCGATTAGTAATTGTTCGCAAGTTAAGTAACTTTAGGTCTTTAACTGTAAAGAGTTAGTCTGTAATTTGAGACGACATCTAAAAGTATGATTTGGTTAAGTTTACGTTTTTCAGCCTAATTGATTATTGCATCACGTAAGTAGGCCTGATCGTTATTAAAATGCTGGATTTTTCACTTCTGTAAATATAATCTCTGGTTGGTACTTTCTAATGTAGCCGAGTAAATTATCACCATTGAATGATTAATGTCTTTTTACGCTCATCCCGGGCATTCCTGACATCCCGGATATTCTCTAAGCAATTTCACATATTTTAAAGCCAAAATATCTCAACTAAATCAAAACTTTAGATTTAATTTTTCAAATAGTGAATAATTAGTACTGCTTGCTTTCCTTTACTGTCTTTTTCAGCTTGGAGAACTTATTTTTATAATCTAAATGATATCCATGGTATCATTTCCAAGAAGCGATGGGCACTGCAGTAATCATGCTTTAACCAATGAGTAGTTGCTGTTTTTTGTTTTGATTCTCAAGCAAAGTTTGAAATTAGAATATAAGAAATTTTCTAGCATTTATTTAATGCTTCCAGAAGTTTTTATATGGTTTATGGCTGTAAAAAATATGTTATTTGAAAATAAAATGATCTGCCGACTTTTTTATTTGGCGAAAATAGAATTTGCAGCTGAATTTCTCTTGTAAAAAGATTTTAAGCTTTAGGCTAAAGACGTTTCTCAAACGTGTTATTCTCACATTAATCCAAGTTTTGGTATTTGAACGTCGACGTGTTCTGTTTTGTTCATTTTAAAATTTAACTTATTTTTCAGTTGCGTTTGAATACTTTGAAAAACAAGAATTGTTGGTTTAATTCAAATAATTTAATTTCGCACCATTCAATCAAATTGACAAGTAGACTTATGTGAACCAAATAAAGTATTTTTGGATCAAATCAATGTTTATTTTCGGTTGCACTAATTTGTCACTGATCATAAGTTCGTTCCTGTCATATTGTCGCATATTTATTCATTATTTATCACTTATTGTAATTGAAGTGTGCACAATTTTTATTTACAGCTGTTCCAGGAAATAAGTACTGCAGTCAGTTTGTGTTAATTAATATTAATTAATAACTTGTGATCAGAGATTAATAAGTCGACGATTTGCAAAAAGTTTGCATAAATGACACCTCCTTTTCCTGTTCATCACAGCATATTATTTTGTATAAAATTTGATTATTCCAAAGGAAACAAATGCTTATTCTGAGAATTATCGACTAAAAATAATCTATTACTTAAGTTTTTGTTGTGATTCTTTAATGCACAAAGTGTAGTCGAGTGCTAAAAGTGAAGATATAATGCGGTTTAGCAAGATAGAGTGAGTGCTTCTCTTTGGTTTTAGCTGCTGGCAAATGCTTATATTACCTCTGATAACTTTACTTACAAAGCTATCATATTCAACTGGTGCTCAGTTCAAGCTCAAATTTGCATTCTGTAATCAAGCACCGAATCCTGCATTGCAATTGATTTGCTCTCAGTTTCAAAAATGGGATTCAGAAGCTAGAGTGAGTTCAAACTAACTTTCTCTTCATTACATCCGACTTCATTAGCACCACAACTTACAAAATTTATTGCTCAGTAATTAAATAAAGCACGTATATAATAGTATTTTATTTCAAATTAAAACTCACTGCTTACTTTCACACACTTTTTTACTTATTATATTTGCAAAAAGGCCTCAACTAAGTTTTAATCTGTAGCTTTTAAAGCTAATAATTTTAACATCATTTTTCAAGCTATGAATTGTAGCTAATAGTCTGTAATGAAGAAATACATTAAACTTTTTAAGTTGGCATAAAATATTAATTGAATAATGAACGTCGAATGAACTACTTAAATATTGAATGAAAATTGTAGCAGCTTCAATCTGACTCGAGGACTCGAACATCATGGAGCTCAGGAAGAGTTTGGTCAAGTTCCCGATCTCGTTGGTCAGCTGGCAACATGCAAAATTGGGCTGCTTGGACGGCATGGTCTGCCGGTTCATCCCATCAGCATACATCTCAATCTATTCATGAAGCTGACAATCATCATAAACCCCAAATTAGTATCAACAATCGCTATAGTAATAATAATAATCACTATAATTTTTCAAAGATGACAAGTTTGACAGATGGTTTTACTTCTGCGACATTCACTCAACAAGAACCTAAGCGAGTGGCATTTGAAATACAATATGAAATTTCTTCCATTCCTGGCAAGTGTTGAATTTTATTGTAAACTAGTATATTGTAAACTTATTGTATAGTATTATTACAATAAGTTGCAGTAAAGTTCTTCAAGTAACTTTACTGTAATTAGTCGTTCAAACTAGTATATCAAATATTATTAATTAAGTAATGAACGTCGAATGAACTTCTTAAATACTTATATTTATCAAGTATTACTGAAATTTAATTATTTTTAAAGCACTCGGAAAGTAACAAAATATTTTGCTCAAACTTTTAAGAATTCAGGAATAAGCTATAAATAAATGTGCTTTGAAAAATGAGACAGACAATCATGAAATATACTGCTACAGATTTTAGGAACTGATGGGATAACTTGCGGTTAGATATATCTATTTTTCATATTATATACCAATTCAGTTCAAGCAATATAAATATAAAAAGATTAAGCATCTTTCCATAAATTTTCTAAAGTAGTAAAAAGCATTGTGAATAATCAGTTTTCAAAACAATGGAATAACAGTGCAGTGCATGAAAATTTTTATTTGCATAAAGTATGTATTTTATGAGCTTTTGCAAAAATTTTCCTCTTTTGCAGGATTTTTTCTTACTGCTCTCGAAGTTTTTGCAAATATGTAAATTTTCAAAAAATTCAGAAAAAATTATAGCCCATTTTTTATAAAAGTGCCATATCGCACTCGTCGAAAGAAAAATTTTCATAAGATTTTCATTAATACTATTTTTTAATGGATGAGGATAATCTATTTAAATTTGATATGGAATTCAAAATTCAAGAAACTATCACTTTCAGTTCGTACAGAAACAAATCGCGTTCGTGGTGGACAAATAACTAACGTGAGAACATATTCACGCACGTCATCAACATCAACATCTCTCTCCACAGCATCCTCCCGCCGTGAACGAATTTTAATCAAAGACAACGAAAACTTTGATCAAGTTTCACGCACTAAGCAGATGCCTCATCGTAGTAGCATTCACGAGTCAAAATTCGGGAAAGATCTGTATTCAATGGAGCAAGACATGGTTGGACCACCTGGACAACAACGCCCTAGCAATTTTATATTCCGTAATAAGCAACGTACCTCAGTGCCATCGCCATCGCCATCGCCATCGCCACCGCCAGTAGTCGTAAATAATGTGCCTGAGAAATTTTCAGGGAGTAAATCACGTGGAAGTCTCGTACAAGAAACAATAAATGTAAGCTACAATTCGAATGAAGATCATTAGAAATGATTGATTATTGGAGATTTTTCATCTTAAAAATGCCTTCTTCCTTGTACTCTCATAACTTTTGTAGTCTTGTACCTTTGCTTTCTAGCAACTTTTGAAATCTAAATATTTTTGTTCAGAGCTAGAAGCTTCACGGATTATTTGTTGTGCTAATGTGTACCTAACAAAGCACTGCTTTAGTATAATCTATTAATAGCAAAGAGATCCATCTCGAGTCGATGAGTTATCAGTCGAAGAAAGGATGGAAGCTATGGAGTGTATGGATCTGAATTGCTTGTGCTCATATTTCCATGGTACTATCAGATCAATTTCGTTTGGCAGTGCGGTTCATAAAAATAACTTCGACAAAAATTACTATTATTTTGATGAAAGAAGTGACAGACTAGTAGTAATGACAATATGATATTGAAGTGTCAATCATTGTGAGATTAGTGCTTATAAGTAAGCTTTGAGTACGGGTATTCAATATTTGAGGACTGTTAACAAATTCGGCTTGCTATCTGTCAAACGGTAAGAAACTTTCGAAGGCTGTCCGAAAAGAGTACCGACAATTACTTGCTGAAGAAAGAAGACGATTCCACTCAGCCTTGCTGAAATTGAAGCAAATTGGAGATTATGATAGGATTGCTAAATGGCATTCTCAACCAGAGATTAGTGGCGGTGCGCATTCGGGACCGGCCTTCCTACCCTGGCATCGAGAATACATCAAAAGGTCTAGCGTTGCATATGTCTTTAATATGAGCAAGTCTTGCACTCTGATTTTTAGCATTTCATTTCTTGACTGAAATGGCATATTTTTAGAGAGATAATTTCATTTAAATACTGCTATTTAATTTGTTTTGACAGTTTTTTCCGACAGCCAGGAGATGGATCGAGTATTGCTTAAGTAATTGTTAAAGCAATAGCATTACTTACACAAAAATCATGGTTATTTATTATTTTGGGTAGCTTTGAAATTGCTGCAAATGTTTAGTATAAATCAATCAAAGCGGATTTCAAGTGCCATTCTCAATGGTAGATATTTGTTGACACTTAAAGATAGGTAATTATGGTTAGCAATTATTTGCTAATTGGAGCATTTCAAACAAGCAGCTTACTTGCAGTCGAAATGCTTTCGTTTTGCTTGCTTACTTGCAGCAGATCTTTAGGATGGAAATAGCCCTTCGATTGGTTGATCCAGAAGTATCTTTGCCCTACTGGGATTCTACACTAGAAAGTGGAATCCCAAATGGTAAAGATACTATTTTATTTAGTAAAACTTTAATGGGTGATAGTGATAAACATGGAGATGTTATCAGTGGCTTTATGTCTAGATGGTTCACTCCTGAGGTTCGATCTTCTTATTGTTGATCTTTGCAAATTTGAATACAAAATAGATAATTGTTATTAGTCCTTTAGTTAGTAGTTACAAGTAGAATTGATCAATAAATTCAATAATATTTGTTAACAAATTATTTATTCCAGTGATAGTTGATTATAACTGTTTCTAGAAACCAATTTTAATAAAAATTTCAAGAGACGATATGTAAATCGACAAGTAGCACAACAAGGGCGTACGTTTAAAGAAGACGATATTCAAGCTATTATGAGACATCACAACGTAATTAGTATGCTTGCATACACAGCTCCTAAACAGGTTATTGCCTACAATTTATTTCTGCTCAGATTTTGAAAAATGTTTGTAAAAATGATTAATATTTTGTCAGGAATTCTTTTAGAGAAATATTACGGAGTCATACTTTTCAATGTAAGATAGAATTTGACTAAACCTTTATATTCATATAAATATGTAATTAGTTTGCTCAGTTGAAGCGATGCTTACAAACAAAAATGTGACCCAATTCAGTGCAATATATTGCGTGCGGATGTAAGATTTTGCGTGAGTCGTTTAGTTTCTTACGTGTGCTATATCTGTTTTGTGTAAATTGTAGAGTGCTTTGTAAGAGTTACACAATATCGCGCATGAGTCTTGCATGAGTCCGCTGCTAAGCCGTGCAATGTCTTGCATGGATCGAGCTGTGTCTTGTGTAAACCATACACCTGTTCCTGATAGATCAGAAATGGATCTTTGAACTTTTTTGATAGCTAAAGTATGTAACCGAAAAATATAGGGATGCCGGCACCCCATAAACTGGGCAGCCCTGGAATATAGTCAAGCAAATGTATTAGTTTGGGTGGGTGGTGATTCCTTCCATCAAACAACTTGCGCAAATGACCCCTTAATATTCCTTCATTACGCTTTCGTCGATAGCATTTGGGAATGGTGGCGGCAGCATCGACAGGTAAACATTTGCGTTCCCATTATTTAATTTCCAGTAAAGTATTGAACTCTTGTAATTGTGGTAGGAAGTTGAGTTTTAATGACAATGTTATACTGAATTTCCATAATATCCAATCACCATTCATTTACCGGTTTTCTCACTACAAAAAAATCAGAAATATTTCACTTCAGTCTTTCAATAATCCATTTTTCTGTTTTATGAATTAATTAAACTGATCTTCAAAGAGCGGTATTTCGAAGCTGTGTATTCAGTCAGTCATTAGGATTATTTGCATGAAAGGTCAATATTCTTAATTTATCAGTACTGCAGTTTGTATGTGAGTTTAGCATGCTGATGGCATTGATATTTTAACTATTAAAAAATAGCATGTCAGCAGATTGCAGAGTTCAGGTTCACGATCAACGAGCTATCCACCGGATTCACTAGAATGCAGTAATGAGAATCATTTTGCGCAAAATCCTATGCAACCATTTGAACCATTAAAAAATATCGATGGCATTAGTAATAAGTATACTGACGAGATGTACAAGTATGCTCCAAGACCAGCTTGTAAAAGAGGTCGCGATGGCCTCTGTGCAAGCGAGTAAGTTTTCAAGTTCAACTAAGGTCATTTTCAGTAAATCTGTTAGCATATACTCAAGTGATGAAAAGACATAATTTATTAGCAGTTAGTGATTGAAAATGGATTCAGATTTTTGTTCTGTGATTCATCTCATGGCTCCCCTCGGTGTTCCACGAAAATCCGACCAGGAGGCAGATGTGACGGTTACTCAAGTCTCGAAAACCCGTGCTATAATAGCACATGTATATCTAGCACATGCTCACAGGAGATTCATTGAATTGCCATAAGCAAGATGAAATTTTTTTTAATTCAATAATTTTAATTATTATATTTCAATTTTAATTATCATAATTTTATTAATAATTTTTAATTATTAAAAGCGTTATGCTTAGTTCGTTAGGTCTAGTACGATCATATTTACGAATTCTGTGGTCAATTTATTCAAAAAATTTTGCATTCTGGATAACTTTTAGATTAGAGGAATTGCATAAGTTAAGATATTACCCGTCTAATACTTTACGTTCTTTGAGATTATGTTCTTTAAACAATAATTACTAGGAAGTATTATTACTAATCCAATAACAATTTATTAAATCATTATGTTGTTAAAGCGAAGTGTAATATTGAATTCTGTGCCTCACTTTAGATGAGTAGAAGAGACATGAGATGGTGCGGAAGCGCAAAAAAAATACTATCATTATTGATAGAATCTGTTACAGAGTCAACTAAGCTTCAAAAGTTTGTAAAAGTAAGCTACGTATTACGAACCTCCATTATTTCTACATCAGCGATTCCTTCAGAAAACAGTTATGCAGTTTGATCCTCATTACCACAGAAAGTGGAGTCGTTCTGATGCGGAATTTCTTGCCTATTACAGTCACTCACTACTACTACGACACAGAACATATCAGTACCTCACAAACATGAGAAGTGAAGAAGTATTTGGAATATAAATGATGCACTATTGATTCGTTCTAATTAAACTATCCGAGTTAGCTTAAATTAAGTGGCCCACTTCGCCATGATTGACCTATTCAGTAATTCATCATATGCCATTGATTAATTTCAGAAACAGCGCTTCGATGCTTACAGATGCTGCCCAGCGTGGGCTAGTCAAGGTTTGTATCAGAAGTTCAAGAGATGTTTGTTTAACTGGTGTCCCCGGTATCATGTTATAAATACGTGCATCCTTATACACGATTTTGTCTCTGGTCGCCACTTAACTTCGTTCACTCAATACCCCTTCACAACTCATTATTACTTGCTCAAAAAATATCAGTCCCTTCATCAAGTCAGGATTATCACCATTCATTGCTTGAAAGCTGGAATATTTCAGCTTGCATCGCTGAGCAAAAACGAATTCTTTAAATTCACTAAGCACTTTTTTATCGAAAAAAGATCACTATAATAAGGATGTGCATATTAGCACGACTACCAACACCTGAAGTTGGTCCTAACATTGTCACATTTTTTGCTTCACACCACTACTGTTTTTCCTTACACTGACAATTATTTCAAATTTCATTGCAGAGTGTTCAGATCGAGAACCTCATGGTCACTGCTCTTCAGGGTCAGTGCCACGGTAATCAGCAATAGATGGCCGAAAATACCTGTTTTCGATGTAATATTCTACGAGTTGACATTTGCTAACTGCAGCAAACACTCCTTAGCAATAAGAAAATTTGTACATTAAGCAATCAGAATTTTATTATTTATTGCTGCTCAATTTAACCGCGATGATTTGGAAAGTACTTTCTCTCGACTGAACAACTAGGAAACAGATAATACCGTTAAATTCAGTATATAATCAGAAATGATTTAGGCTAAGTACCTTACCTTCACAACTCGCTTACTAATTTTTTGACATGACTTTATAACATTGTCTTTGGCAATAACTGGAAGATGACGCAGTTGTTCAATAGTGAGGACTTATGAGATCCATGCAAACAGTAATTGACGAGAGATCTTCAAAAAAAGACTTGCATACAACTTTCGTGAAAAAATTACATTCCTAATTCCTACAGACGCTAGTTAGCAATGTTTGCCTCTCAAAAATTTGATAGTCCTCTAATATGCATCAGAATTGACCTTTCATTTTCCGCTATTATCAAAAATGTATTTTCTCTCAGTACTATTAATATGAATGCAAGCTCCAATTTAAATATCTTCGAAATTCTTTGAGAATTTTAAGTATGTTTTTCTGACTTCAAAATGATGGAATCAAACAATAATTAGAAACAAACACTGAGAACTTGCGTTAGAAATTTATAAGCGTTAACATAAATGTTTATGTTTCAATCACGATCCTGATTAATTGAAACTTTATCAGTTACAGACAAATGAAAACAATGAAAAACCACATTTGCAGCTGCTTAAAAAGTTGAAAATCCATTTACATATCGCTCCAATTATAATGGCATGAGATGCTACCAAGTTATCCATCTGAATAACTTTCCATTGGATCAATGAGAAAAAACGTCTCATTAAAAAATGAGGCTTCATTATAAACGGGTAGCACTTCAAGCTTAGCACAATGATCTAATGTTTTTAAAGTCATCTCAAAAACAGGAACACACAAGTGTAAAATTGGAAGAAGAGATATATCTTCAAAGAATTTCTAGCTACCCAATCCAACACCTAAGATACATACTTTACTGCTCGCGCTTTATGATAAATATTATATCGTTATATCGTTTAACTACTTTCAATATAAGCCACAACTCAGTTTTATGAATAACTTGCTGCCAGGAAATAATTCAATAAGCAAAAAATCATTTACATTATTCCTGAAAATGATGTTTAATTAATTACTGGGCTAAATCTCAATTCTTCCTCATACAAAGATTACTAAGATTAGAGCAACTTAAAATGAAAACACTGAATGCCTGAAACAGTTAATGTGCACCTAGTACCATGGAAAAAAATAAATGTGCATACGACAGAACACCTAGTTTATAGGAAGAAGATCCTTGATATGTGCAGCTTTTAGAAATCTTTTTTTAATATCTTATATTGGTTGTTTAACTTGGAACTATAAAATGTGCCAAATCGAAAACGATACAACAACATACTGATGATTCAAGAAATATAATGATAATAATATATTCTTGTACAAGAAACAACTGGAACTGGATACTTTTAAATATATGAAAATTTGCATTAGCTTTTTACAAAAATATTCGAAATATTTGAGGAAAAACTCTTACCGAACTTTTGAACTTTCGATTTCTAAGACTTGTTCGAATGTTGCGTCCAGAGATCATACTTAGAGAAAGAATTATTAAAAAGACAGAACGACAAGAAGGAACTGATACAAATTAGTAAGGGGTAAGAGGGAATATAAATTACTATTGAAACTATTCACCAACAATGTGACTGAAATCTGCTATTCTTTGTTTTGGACAATGCGCTGCCTGAAGTGAATCTATATTTCATCAAACAAAAATTGCGGAAAATCTTAAGAACATATATATGTATTATTCGGACGATGCATCACTAATTGTTTTTAAAGGTTTAAAAATCGATAGCTCAAGCACAAATTGAATCGTACCTCGCTTAAAAATCAATATCTATCATTAATATAAAAAATAGAGCAACTTACATTGTCATCGTACCAAAGCTGCCACTTTTCAGCTGATTGTTTGTATTTGGCAAACTTATTGCACCACTCTCTATATTTCGACTTGAACTGAGCTACGCTTGTTGGCTGGGCACATTCAGCTTAAAAAACAGATGTTAGAACTCATAAATAATGAAATAAATATATTAGTACTGATTTATACTTCGAAACTCAAAAATAGGGGTTCAGAAAAGTTCATACTAAATCTTTACAGTGAATACTAGACAGTACTCGAAAAAATTACCCTCATCAACAGTGACTTCATAAATCATAACAATCTCTTCACTGAAGAAACATTTATAGATGCCACTCTCTTCTCCAGAGATCTAAAAAAGCATGAAGAAATTTAGAAAGACCGCAACTAATATTGCGCGTTTGTTTTATTTCTTATTTAATAGGATCAAACAAAGATTAGAGATAAAAACATTGTAGTACATGGTGACTCTGAGAATCAGAGGGAAATTAATAAAAACTTGCATTAAACAAGACAAGTCCTCCTTCAATAGTAAGAAGTCGCTTTTCAGAAGAAGAAACTTTATCACCATCAAAAAACCATGTACAGTGTACCACACAAGTAAGATGCAAGGTATCACCAGAATACGCATAAATTATTGTACGCTTCACATTTTCCAAACATTTGTCAACATTCTTAGAAATGGCAGTGATCCAACTAAGAAATATGTCAAGTAAAATGCTTTCAATATTGAAAATGCATTATTTCTCATAAATCATGATCCTCTAGAATGAACTGTCCATTTTTCAAGAAGTAACTCACCCAACCGAAGATAAATGAGACTGTTCACGTGTATGACATGATCCACGGGCAGTATTCCATGAACAGTATGGGTCACGAGCACACTGAATACATATTGCATAATGTGAGCACTGTGACAAAAGGTACTGAGCTACATGGTTTTCTCCTGCTAAATACACAAATTCTCCAGGTAGCAACGTCATTGCAAAAATATTCCCGTTAGTTTTTATATTATAAGTTGCAAGAAGTTTTGAATACGTATCTAATCCATCAAACCAGTGCGCTATCTTGTGCAATTTCTGAGATCTGTAAATGTATGCATGATGAGAATGCAATTTTTTTCTAAAAACTGCATTTTGCACAAACTTTAAGAAATATTACGATAATTTCCGGAAATTTTCTACGAAAATAAATCCCTATTTATTTCAAATCCCAGCTTCTACATTGCTTTCAAAAATTACATGCATTAATAAACCTTGGCGTAAAGAAATCCTTTCACTCGTAAACTGTAAACTTTAGAAATTGAAGAGCATTTTTTTTGAAGGAAGAAAACTAACCCATGTGAATAAATGAAAACAATGTTAACATTTTCCAGTGTATCTACAGCAATATGAGTGAACAATTCATTTCTTAATGCTAACAATAGAAGATCAGCTGATACAGCATCTGCCATCAGTAAATGAGATCGTGCAAAATGTAAACTATCATCCGAAACTGTGGCAGAATTTGCAGTACACTGAAACAACAATTTGGCATCAAAGAATAATAAATGAGATCACAAAAATAATTACAAATAATTATCAAAGAAGTAAACTTGCAAGATCTGAGAAGTTCAAAAAATTAGTAATGAAAACTTGCCGTCCCAGGGCGATGACCAGGAACACTTTCGGATGGTGTAGTAGTCCATCCACCAGATGAAGTCTGCTCCAAAAAATATCCATGGTCGAAGAGCTATAGATAAAAAAAGACGGCAGCAAATGAATAATTATAATTATGATATTTTGCCATTTTATGATAATTTGCCATCATCACTATTTAGTGATGATGGCAAATTATCATAAAATTATCGTAACTGAAAACAGCACAATAAGCACTGATTCTAGTTTTGATTTTAAAACAGCTTAATAAACACTGATCATTATTATATTGACTCAAATAAACAGTATAATGAACAAGCATAACACCTATTCAAACTAGTAAAAATTGGTAATGTCTTTCGAATAAGTACCTGATTGATTTTACTCAAAGAAAACACACAAACAGCACTTCCACCAAACGATACATCAGAAGTAGTTAGAGTGGCATAAAAGAAGTTGTCTGAAGTACCCTCTACTCTTTGCAATGATTCTAAAAACCTCAATTAGTTCATAAATTTATAGACAAAATCAAAGCTAATATAAGTCTTCAACCGAATCTGCAAAACTCAAAAATTTATCTACTTTTGATTCACATTCAAGTGAATAACAGCAAATTATTACTTGAAATGTCTACGTTTTTTAGACGGAAAATCCTGACTGTATGAATTAAAACATACGAATTTCATTAAAATACACAGAAGATGTTGAGGAAATTGAACAATTCAGACGTGCTTTGACAAAAGTAGTCCATACCTGTCGCATAACATTTTTTCCACCAACATCTTTCTAGAATTTTGTCTTTTATTTTCAAAAAGTCATATAAATTTAGTACACTGAATGATTATGAAAAATCAAACCCCAGTTCTTATTCTTGAGAGGATATTTATGAGGAGCTGCAAATTTCAGACAGTAAAAAATGCTATAGAAACAATACGTTCCTCTAAATATGCAAAATAAATAGTCAAGCAAACCTTACAAATACGAGCAACTCTGGAGTACACTACACGTCCACAGTTCTCATGTTCGATAGCAATTTCACGGAAAAAAAAATAAACATATTTGCCAATATCGAAGGATGCCACAAAATCAGGCTCTAGATTAATCGCGTTGCATCAGTATGTCTCACAACACAGAAAGAAGAAAGAACTAAACTCATTAGAGGAAAGAATTAAACGTACTTCAGTACGTAATCTGAATGAAAAAGATCTGCATAAATTCAAACTCAATGGATGCATAAATTTACCTTTTACCTAGAGCGACAAATTTTTTAATCTTGCTATTTTCATATGAACTAACCATACAACCACTTGGAGTCCGTATATATGGTACGCATTGATGAATATATTTCTTTATTGTTTTTTATTAGAGGTGGGCGGTAAATAAGATGATTATCAAGAACCAGACCTGTTCTTATTCCAGAATAAATAGCAGGTATGTCCTCGGGATTCCCCCATTCTGTAAATATAAATTAATGCTTATCACTAACTGCTAATTACAAACAATCATAAAGAAACTAGACCAATCAAATCCGGTAAGTGTTATTTAATAGAGTTAAAGAATTTTTATTCACCGACAAGTACTGCTGTTGTATTGAGATCTGTATATGGTGAACACACGCCAATAACATTTTCCGGTGAAGAGCGTTCCTGTAGTGTCAAAGCGTCTAGTTCACGAATTTGTGGTTTCATAGCATTAGAAGAGCAAACCAACAACGTCTGACGGCCTTCCTTTAAAAACATAAGCCGGACTCCATTTGTGCAGTCAGTGTGACCAGCACGCCGGCACTCTTCTGCATCAGTGCGAGAAACTGGAAGCTCTATGTGAGCATACTGAAATTTTAACAGGTAAATCGCAGAAAAAACACTCTAGAAATATTTAAATACAAAATTGATTTTTAAAGGAATGACACTTTAAGCATTAATGGAAAATTTAGCTTTTTAAATTTCTTGTGAAAAATTAATGAGCAAAATAAAAAAATATCGAAGGACACACCAGACCATCTGTTGAAGCTGTTGTATTGATATTATATGCCCACAATCGGAATAAATTCCCACTAGCGCCAACGTAAAGAGATGCAGACTGAGGGTTGAGCAATAAAGTTCGATATTTCAACCGTCCAACTGTGAAAATATTGTCTAAAATACTTAACTTGAAAAGGACAGTATATGAGAAACAATTTGTTCAACAAATTCTACAGTATTAATGTTATCATAATTCCTTTGGTTTTGAAGCAGTGATGCGCTGGATTAGTCAACATCCCTTTAATTACTTGTATGCATTACTAATTACATTAGAAACCATTAACCTGGATAAATCGTTGAAAGTGTTGATGTTTTTTCCAATATCTCAACTGAAATTAAAAAGAAAAATATGTAGTGAAATGAGACCCCAATACACATTATTGCAGTGCGTTATTTATGCAAATAAAATCATCCCTGAATAGCGTTTGCCCTGATAGTAGTAACAATAAAATGTCTCATATCCATCTTTACATCAACTTGCTTTCAAGTATTTTTCCTGAAAAGGAATTAACCTAATAAAGGGTGAATTTAAACCGCGTATTCTTAGTCAATCATCAAAAACGTCATAAATAATCTCAAGCAACGATTTTCAATGAACAAACTTTAGATGATAAATACGGAATTACTGGGAAAAACGTCCTACTCAAGTAACTTGGAATCTATGTGAAAATTTTAAAGGTCAAAAAAAATTCCTTGAAGACTTTTATTAAATGTAAAATTATTGATTAAAATTTTACTCGACCCTCAACACATTCACTTTTAAATTAAAATTTGATTTAGATAGGTAAAACAAGCGAAGTAGTATTTGATGAAAGAAAAGTGCAAATTAACTGAAGTTTTATTACAATTTAATTACAGCGCAAGATATATTGAATAAAAAAACAAGTAAGAAGTGAATGACACAGAAAGGAAACATAACAAAACTTAAGAAATTTCCCTCATTATTTCAGCAATACATAACGAAAAAGATATGAGATCTAAAAATTCAGCCCAAGAAAACAAGCTACAATAAAATTAATTTAATCACTAACTCATATGGAGCTAAAATCAAAGATCAAATATATTTCCAATATTACTAAAAAATACAATACATTTGAGCATAAAATCTTGAGCACTTGTTTTGTGGCACCAGGAGACTCAGTCAAATTTATATTAAGCAGGTTCTTATTTCCGAAAACAGCAGATATGAACATGAAAATTTAAAATCTAATAGTAATTATCAACTTATACAGAACATTATACCGGAATCACCAATTCCTGATTAATTTATATTAATAGTCTTAAAGATGCAAATACCAAATGACGCAATTCCCAGATGTATGAGAATTTAATATCTCTTAGAATAAACCTTTTTTCTTAAGCAATATACAAAATGTAATACAAAAATTTTGAGAAATAATGAGAATCGAAATAGCAATTCTCATAAATTACGTTTATAAGAGGTACTTGAAACACTAACACCCACAGAGCTGTTACAAGTTTTAAGAGTAGTTGGCAAATTGTATAAACTGCTGTCATCGTCATTTTTTGCTATACTAGATATCTGAAAACAACAAATGTCTTGAAAAGACAAATAATTTAAAGTAATAATCTAGATGAAATGACACCGGAAAAAAGTCCACAAATATTCTTAGAATTATTTCCTAAAGAACATTGAGCTTAAATAAGAAATTGTATACTGAAAAAACAAGCATAATGAAAGTATCCATACCACATTCGGAATAGGCGAAGTGGACAACAACTCTGTTTTAGAGTCAGTGCTACTTCCTGCAACATTTGTTGACAATGGCGGTGGATAGTTGGCAAGTATCTGTTCAAGGGCAGCCTTATCATCAATAGTACTTAATTCCAAGAGATCAAAAAAATTAGGTTTCAGCTCGAATTCCTCAAAAATATTGACTGATGATCTCGATGGCTTCGTATTTTGTCTCTGCAATAATTGTAAAAACTTCGCAATTTAAACATCTTATAAATTAACAATCAAAAATGTCCTATGCTGCGTTGAACTACTTTATTGATGAATGACTAACCTGCTGCATGAATGAATAATAAATGTGTTAAATTTAAATAAAATACAAATAGATAAAAAAGAATAAATCAGTATATTTCATCAACTTGTATCGATCTTGCATTGAGTACATAAAGTCTTTATCGTCACAATATGCTTCTAACTTCATTTACTTCATTGAAAGGTATTGCTACAGCACGACAGGGTTCTAAAATAACATTTGGTTGAATTTTGTTTGCATGAAATCCTGCCGATCTGTCTTGTGATTTAACTACAATATTTGATCCGCCTCGCGTATCCACTTTTGTCGTGTTTGTAGCGCTCAGGTCTTTCATTTTTGCTGACAAAGTAGACATGTTTTTTTCGTAATCCGCAATTGCCTTTCTTTCATGCTCAAAACTATACTGAAATACAACAATGAATTTTCTTTTATAAAATTCTATAAAAATAAACTTAAAAAAATGATAGGATCTCTAAAAATGATACTTACAAATGTAAGTAATTAAATAATGAATTTTACTTCTTGCAAATGTGGCCAATTAATCAAAATATTTGGCACTGCGACAATAGGAAGTGGGAAAAAGCGATGGCTTATTTCCATAGAAACATCACAAATGTAGTCTGAAAATTAGGAATCAGTACCTAGAAAATAGTGACTCCTTCAGTAATAAGCACTTTCCTGATTGTGCAATTACTACAAAAAAAGATCAAAATACGTGACAACTGGAAATGACAGTATTACAAAGATAGGTTATCAGTCCCAAACTACGAAGACTTTTTATATTTCCTTCAGCAAATTTCTAATTGATTCGCTGATTAAAAAGAAAACTTTTCAAAAATGCTTGTTATCAAAGCATCCTTTAAGAATGTTTCCAAGTGGCAAAAACGAAAATAACATTTTAGTAAACTGAATATATCATCACTTTAAATTGCAATTTAAATACCCGAAATGAAATAATTACCTTTAGGATGACCTGATGACGACATAACAAACACTACAATTAATACAGAAAGCAAAATGCGCTCAGGGATAGCAACACTTCTAACATAGTAGTTCCGAGTAGCTTTGACAGAACCAAACTAAAACCAATGTTGTGTGAAACTAACTTTACAAAGAAAACTGCAAGCAAACAAACACAAAAAAACAATTCCCCAATTTAATCACATTAAAGAGCATCACTCTACATCTAGACAACCGATGAATGTTGCAGAAAGTAACTGCACGCAGTTAGTCGAAATTAAATAAACTCTACAGAGCTGACTATTCATAACGCTGTCACATTATGAAAATGCAAAGGATCTTGGAGCAATCGCGAATTCTTTTCTCCTAACTGCAAACAGTGGGATTAATTCTGTAATCTGGAAGGTTATTCGGTTACAGCTTGACCTGAAAGGTTGAATCAAATTGGAAAGAAGCCCAAAACTTGGCATGAAAGTGCTGAGATGTGAAAAATTAATCTTAAATTTATATTTGACAAAATTTCTTGCAAAAATTCAGTTTGAAAGATAACTTTTTTGTCGAAGTTTACACTTTTATTTTTTCGTTAAATGTGTGAAATTGCAGCAGCGATATTTCATTGTTGAGTTTGGGCTGAGAACTAACCAAAAAGTTTTTTTTATATTTTGAAAGCAAAATATTTTAGATTAAATATTTTTTTTTAATGCAAGCTAAAACAGTCCTAGCAAAATTATCCTGATAAAATGCGCAGGAATACTGCCTGAATTCTACTTCCACATAGAAATTAAAGTATATCACTTGCCTGCTCAACTGAATGAAATGTTCAGATCGGCCAAAATACTGTTAGCTCTACTGAGGAGTTCCTTTAAATCGTTGGAAAATTTAATACTAATTAAAATTATTACAATCACGCTAGTGATACAGAATTGATACAGAATTTAATAATACTTAATAAGTAATATAAGTTATTGAATTCAATACTAAATGAAGTAGTTACTTTTTTATGTTAAAAATTCTGTGGCTCACTTTTTCATACATAAAAAATTCTTAATATAAAATTTTCATTGAATATATAAGCAACTTTTGAATTCATACAAGTTCAAATTAAAAAAAGTGTGTTAGCGTGGCGTAAGCACTTATTAATTTTACTGTAAATCGAAGTTAATCCTTTCAAAATTCTTTCCATTCTGATAAATATGAAAAATTTCAGAGATTTTCCATCAGAATTTTTAGCATAATGAGATGCATAAAAGTATAAAAATATTCATTCTTGCTTGCACAGAAAAACGAAAATTTTCGGGCGATAGAAATTGCATAAATGTTCGTTACTTTACACACACTCACTCAGTGCTAAAAGCTTTCAGTGCTAACAAAATGCTTTAAGACTTGAGTATTATGCAAAAGGTGCTGTGAAGGTGATATATTTGACGAAAAATTTAGCGTTGTCTGAAGCACTTGCGTGATTTTGAGTAAACGTAAACATCATATGGGAATAAATGGACTGAACAACACGTTGGCCATTAACTTTAGCTTTTTATAATTTTTATTACTCTCCAAAAAAAGAAATAAGAAATCAAACTGCCAACCATTAAAATTACTGCTGCATGAAATTCTTCACTACAAGAGAAAGTGCTTCTAATTCTAGCACAAAGTCTAGCTTGTCTTTATTAAATTTTATTTTGAACAGTTCATTTTGCTGTTTGCAAACTTTAATTCTCTGCTAAATGTCTATAAAAGATATCAAATGAAGTAAGGTTTTTGAGCGTGCTTTTGTTCAAATTCCATAAGACTCAATCTCATACTTTTCTTCCTTATGACTATATTTGGGTACAAAAATAGTTCTCAGTTATTATTACTGCAATTAATATTGAATTTAACAGGTTAGAGCAAGTAAGTATTAATTTGTAGGTGTTTTGGTTCAGTTCGAAGTTAGTCATTGACATTTTAAGTGTGAGATAGGAAATTTTAAATTTACATCTGTTCAAGCTAGAAGAGCTCATAAATTTGAGCTCAATTCTTTTCAAACGAATCATCTCAGACATAATTCAATTCTACTCCAAACGAGTTCTACTTCCATTCATGTCATACTACTGATTTATTTTATTAAAAATTGGTCTGCTGCCAATTTTATATTATTATCAATCACCGTGTTGTTCAATTACTGAGTATAAAACAGAATGCAATTATTTTTATATTGTGGTAATTTTATTTAAGTGCTCTTATCAGTAATGATATTATTTATTATTATTATTATTATTATTATTATCGTTATCAGTTACTAAAAGATATGTACGAAAAGAAATAAATTATCTCAACAGATGGCTTACACAGTTATAAATATAAACGTTAAGTCATTCATCATTCAGTTTGCTAACCTAAATTATTTTTATTTATTTAGAAAAAATATCATCAATTTAGAAAAACACTTCCACTATATAAATAAGCAAGCGCAATGAGTGTTATCATAAATTAAATAAAAGTTTGTTTAGTTGCGTACGATAACTATCATAAATTGAGTTGAAACGAAATGGAAGATTTAGATAAAAATACTTGTATTGGGAGGAATCAAATAAAGAACTGAAATAATACGCGACCCTAAGAGCTTTTTGATAAATTACTGTTATGGCATGACTGTGTTACTGCAGTGCTTCCAAGTCAAATAATTTGGAATTATATAGAAAGAATTGGTTATATTTCAAACTAACTAGTAGTGTTATATGTAAAAACTAGCAGTGTTATATGTCTAATTATTTTCCACCACATTAATAATCAGTTGGATGATAAGTGAAATTATTTGCTTATCCAATACTGGAATACTTAATTTGTCAATATCAGATTATTGTTCCTCTCAAAATTTAATTGTTAATACAAACCACTATGGAAATGCTTTAACTATATTTCATCTCTTATAAATGAAATTAGAAAATTCAAAAGTTTTATCTGACTATTTACGGTTAGAGTTGCAAATTTAAATATCAGTAACTGATTTAGCATATTTTGATAAATTTTACATGCCATAAATTGCAGAATGCTCTAATGTGTGCTTGATTTTTCTATTTAAACTGATTAAAATTGCATGAAATAAGTCATTATAATTGTTTATTTATCCATTTTACTCAATCAAAATGCTTCCTGTAAAGTTTGTTATCAAAAAGTAGCTAACGTAAACTGTTTATAACGTGATAACGTGACACAATGTTGAAAGTAGCACTTTGAGAAAACAAACTCCTAGAAATCTTCATGACTCTAAAGTAATGACAAAAGTTGAGGACAAATATAAATGAATAAGTTTTCTGTAGAGTAGAAACAAATGTCTCGCTCATTTACTTACATGTAATCACTGCTTGACTAACAGTGTATTGACATGAATATTTCTAGGAATCAGTGAAATTAAGTTTCAGAATGGTGTCTGAATATTCCAAGTTAGGATGAGAGAGTTTTATATGAGCGTTATTGTAATTAAACTGTTATTAGTTCATATGCAACGTTGGCGAAGACTGTGATAGGCAAGAAGATTGTTTTCGAGATTAGCGGTTGCCATTTCTATATGACTGATCAGCGTTTTATATTTCTCTATAAATTAATATACCAAATTATGAGTGACAAATAAACGTGCTTTCTTACCTGAATAGTGGGGATAAATTTCTAGAATATACATACTCGTTTTATCATTATTGTTCAATCATTTGTAATTTCATGCTTAAAATCATCTTGATAAACCACTGTGTTTTATTTTCATTCTAGCAAACTTTTTTATGGCCGAAATTTTCTTTCAAACGAATATCACTTTGTAAAATGCCTGCAGAAGGATCGAAAAAATTGTCAAAAGTATTTGGTAGCTTATATGATAAATATATAAGTTTTTATTTCAGATTATCCAAGGAGTTACTTTTAAGTCTTTGTAAATAGAAAAAATCCCTTATTAAATTCATATTCTGCTAGATAGATTACTACATGTTTCTCTCCTAAACTTTCAGAAGTCATTAAACATTCAGAAGGATGAGTTTCTGGGCAGATCAAATATGAGCTATCGACCAGACATTGAAATTTTAGACGGAACTCAAGAGGTGATTTTTTGCCACATTTACTTCTAACAAAATTTGATTACAGTTACAATTTGATGCAGTTTTTTTGTGTAATTTAATATGATTTCACAGTTCTACAATTCTTTTACTGTTTTTTCATGTCCAATCTTTTTGATTCAAAATTAATAATTTTTAACACAATTTCTTAAGTATGACTTCAACGATATCCCACCATCAACATTGGGATGTTCTGCTTTTAAGTCGTAATGGTTATGGGATATCATGGGTATTGGCCAAGCAGGTTCTTGACTAATTTTAGCAACTTAGTGTGACAAATATTTATGACAAGATAAATATTAATGTAATGTGTGGAAGTAACAAAGATTCATAGTGAGATACTTGGATTATGATTGCCTTTTTTTCTCGTGACATCAAAATTTGTTATTGTTCACAATCTAAACTGTTATTTAGTGGTACGGTCAGACATATCATGTATATAATTTGCTTCAGTATTTCATGTGAATGAAAGTACAAAATTTCGGAATTTGATCTTCATCTGAAATAAAGTTTGTCTAGAATTAAGAAACTGACATCTTTACATCTTTCTTATGATCTCATGCTGCTGCGCACTATCAACTATGTCTTTTGTATTGAAAGTAATTCTGCTGCTGGATCGGGTAGTCATCTCAGTAAAAAATGTGGAGAACAGTGCAGAAAAAATATAACTTCATATATTCATGTTTTTGTGTAATAATTTAAAATTGAATTGAACTTGCTAGCTAAGAAATGCGAGTGTCACTGTTTATTACTCATTCAATTTTTCAACTGTTATGAAAAAATCACGAAAAAGATCAATAATTATCATAATCATCTGCACGATCGGACAGATCACGTATATAAATTGTTCCAGTAAAATATCTGATACTGATTTCACCCAGTAGCAAGGTAAAAGCATCGTTCTGTAAGCTATTAAATATTTGAAAAAATGATCGGGGAAAAAGAAT